CACCCTCCCTCCCCTGTTTCCCCACCCCTTCTGTCTCTGCCCCTTCCCACTTCCCCCTACTGCTTATGCTTGCTCCATGCAGCAGGCACTGTATTTGCTGCAGCCTGGAACACAGCACAAATCCAGTCCAGCCCCATCACAGTGGTGCTGGCTCTATGCTGCTGCTACAGGGCCAGGCTAGGTATGGGCCAGGCTAGGCCAGGCTCCATGACCCAGGCTGGCACAGGGAGGGAGCCTGCCACTGCAGAGCAAGGGTAAAGTGCTGGGGGCAGAGGCTGGGTGGGGGAAGATAGGGGAAAAGGAGGGGAACAGGGGAGGTGGGGCAGAGGCTGCAGGGGGCAGGCAGCAGTGGAGGCAAGTGCAGGAGGGGACAAGCAGCAGGGGGCAAGTCCCTTGTCTACTGCCCCCTTACTGCCTCCCCCTGCCACGTGCCTACCTACTTCCTCCCCCACTGCCTACCCTGTTATTACCTCTCCCATCACCTGCCCCACTACCACTGCTTTCCCTGGTACAGTGGTAGTAGGGATGAATTTAAAATGATCTTCCAATAGTTAGATGCTATGCATGGAAACTTAAAACAAATGTATACATTTTCCATGTACAGAATTTAAGTATTCCAGGGTTGTCTTAAATTCAGACTCAACTTGGATTTGGGTAAATATAGTATTTCTGTTATTTTGTCCAGGCCTCAGCTCACTGGGCAAGTACAGCCTCTCACCATTCCAAGCCTCCCCGATTAGTTCCTGCCTCTGCTTGTACTGCACTGATACAGCCTACTTCCAGTTTCATATATCACACTTTAAGAGCCTTTACTGATTTAACCCTTCTAGGCCTACCCAACAAAGCCTACAAAATTAATTCCAGGATCAACATTATTTTTGATGTTTAACATTTATACTGGGTTAACCAGGATGCAGCCCCAAAACACTAGGCTTTGTACAAATAGACAGAAAATGACACTGCCATGCAAAATAGATGGCAACAAGAGTACTAGAAGAGCACCACATTCTGATTTGTAATACAGAAATACAACTAAGAGAAAGGCAACAGATGGCCTAACACAGGTTGCTTGCAGATGTGAAAGCCCCCCACAAAATGCTCTTTAAACTCAGTGCACTCCAGTGCCAAGTCCAGTGCATGCCAAGAAAAGGCAGTGCACTAATTTTGACCCAGCTCTGCAGCACCTGTATCAGGCAGCTTAGTGGGGCTTTTCTGGTGATTTTATCTAATAGATGATTGAATCAGCTTTAGATAAAAAAGTGCCAAAAAGCCCTGCTGAAGCACCTGATCTATATGGACACTGCAGAGAAGGGTTGAACTAACATGCTGTTGCTCCCAGTAAAGTACATCTTTTTTCATGTCTGCAATGATTAGACTTTAATCCATTTGAACCACCACATTTTAATCCATCTGAGGTGTCAAGGGGAATCCTACTAAGGACCCTGATAAAGGAGACACTTAAGCATGTACAGTAAAAGCTGTGTTATCTGGCATTTTATTAACTGGCATGCTCTATTAACCAGCATGCCGATTGACGCAGCAAAATCGAAACTGGAAATCCCACCGTGGCACTTCTGGTTTTGCCAAGTCCCACTTCACCGACTTTGGACTACGGCCTGGGGCAAAGCAGCCTGTGTGGGGCCTCCCTCCTTGTCCCTCGGCACGCTGACTCCAGGGAGTGAAAGCCCTGGCGCACTGGACGTGGTGGGAGGGATGGCAGCCTGACCAAGCAAAGATGCCTCTCAGGTAACCAGCATATTTGATTAACTGGCACTTCCCATTCCCCATGGATGCCAGATAACACAGCTTTTACTGTATTTAAAATTAAAGTCAGGCTTAAACGCCATTTATGTAGTTAAGCATGTGGCCGAATGCCTTCCCGAGTGAAAACCCTTCCCTGATCCAGGGACTTAAGATACTTCAAATCTGCTCCTCAGCGAGAACAGCTTTCTTCCATTTTTTTTTTTTTTTTTTTTTTTTATATAGACCCAATTCCTGTCTTTTTAATAACTGATTTATACTTGCATCCTAAATCCCAACTGAGTGAATTTGTTCATACCTTGCTAAGTACTTACTCTTGATGTTAGTTCAACTAAATTCAAAGCTAATATATTAATATAACTTTTGAGAATGAAAATGAGATACATTTTCCATAATATGTATGGAAAACCTGGAAACAGCTGTTTAAGAGCAATATTTAGGAAGGGTAGAAATCGTGTTGTGATGCTTTCTTGTGTCAGGTCATACCATAGTTATTTTTACTTTTCTGTCAGAAACAGATCACATGCCAAGTTGTCTCTCACCTAAACTGAACACAGGTTATCAGAATTTCAAGCTCTTGGGGTCAGTTACAACCAATGTGCAGTCAAGTGGGAATTGCACATGTTGGTTATTTTCAGAATTTGGAAGCAGAAGGATAAACTTCAGCTGACTATGAAAATGGCCTGACAACGAGTTGTTTTAGACATGAGGGTGCAGGAAGAGACGCTAATGTTGACAAAGCTCTCTTTACATGGTTCAAGGAGAAAAGGGCATACGTAGCAGTGGTTCTAAAGTCATGTCATCCAGCCTGTGGGTTTCCCCACATGTCTAAAAGTTTGGCAATGAGGGAGAAGGAGCAGTGTTAATTGCAGCTTCCCTGCTGCCAAATTTCCAGACCCAGAGGAAGCCCTGTGGCCTGGATGACATGGTCCAATGTGCTAGATTGTGCTGGTGCACCATGTCACTCAGTGGCCAGAATCCAGCAGATCCAGCACACCTGCAGACTGATTCTACACATGGTACTAGCCCCCCAGACCAGCCCTGTACCATTCATTTGGCCTGTGGGGCCTGAAGGTTGAAAATTACTGGTTTACAAGATAGAAGAACTGTTTCAATATTATAAAAAAAAAAAAAAAAAAAAGCATGGAGAAAGTTAGCAGATAAACCAGTAACTGAGCAATAGCAGAGTGAAGTATTTCCTCACATACATGAACAATTTGCCCCTGGTTAAACTTTGCAATGTTGAAGCATCAACTGGCTGAAAAGGTAGAACTGTCAGCCTGCATCCAGAGCTAAAAGATATGCCTCTTACTGAATGACTAGACTGCACATTATCTTTGACATAAACTTACAGATCAGTGTGGTGAAGAATATGAAGGAACATTAGTTATCAAAGATTGCTGTTGCTCTATAAGGGAACTCTAAAGCAGATTTTTAGACAGCTCTGAAATCTATTATTTTGTTAGACTGGATTAATCCTATTGAGGCACAACAAGATGTAAAGCCAAAACCAATTTTCATCTGTTTTGAGACAAGTTAATTTGTTATGCCAGACTTGCTTTTATTTTTGGAGAGCTGATGAGAAATTACTCAGTGCTGCAGTTGTTATAAGGGCAGAGAATCAAGTTCAACTTAAAAAAAAAAACCCACTAAAACAGATAATGAAAAGCATCAAGAGGGCAAGAATGAGTTGTGTAGGCCTCACTGGGACACTGATCAATATATATATTGCTCACACAAAGGCTTCGCTAAATCACTGGCCAGAGTAAGCCTAATCAGTGAACCTGGCCAAGGCACGAACTCCTTACATAACCACATTCCAAATCTTGCTTAAGATGTGAGCCAGATATGCGTTCCTGCAAAGAGATGGGAAGAGGTTGTACAAGGTACAGGATGGTCCAGTACCAAGATGATAAGGATGGAATGGGAACACCCAGATCAGGATGTAAAACAAGTTCATGGTACAGGATGGCTCAAGATATTGGTGGAATGTAATATGTCAGTCAGAATGTAATACCCTCAGGCCCAGGGTCAGTGAGGACCTAATCAGGGAACTTCTGGTGGGACTAGACATGTTCAAATCAGCAGGTCCTGATGATCTCCACCCCAGACTGCTGAGGGAACTGGCCAAGGCCATTGCAGGACCCCTGGCACAGCTTTACGAGCACTCGTGGTGCTCTGGTGAGGTGCCGGAGGACTGGAAAAGGGCAAATGTGGTCCCCATTTTCAAAAAGGGAGGAAAGAGGACCCAGGAAGCTACAGGCCTGTTAGTCTTACCTCGGTCCTGGAAAAGCTCTTTGAGAAAATTATCCAGGAGCACATCTGCGAGGGACCAGCAGGGGAGATTATGCTTAGGGGCAATCAACATGGGTTCACTAGAGGCAGGTTGTGTCAGACTAACCTGGTTGCCTTCTGACCAGGTCACACAATCCTTGGACGCAGGTGTCGTGGTGGATGTAGTCTTTCTGTACTTTAGGAAGGCCTTCGACACTGTCTCTCACCCCACCCTCATTAAAAAAAATTAGGCGACTGTGGTGTCAATGCCTACACAGTTGGATGGGTCGCAAACTGGTCGGAGGGTCGCACCCAGAGAGTGGTGGTGGACGGGTCATTTTCGACCTGGAGGGATGTGGACAGTGGGGTTCCCCAGGGCTCGGTCCTCAGGCCTGCACTGTTTAACATCTTCAGCAGTGACTTGGACGAGGGGGTGAAAAGCACCTTGTTCAAATTTGCAGATGACACTAAGATGTGGGGAGAAGTGGGCATGCTGGAAGAGAGGAACAGGCTGCAACTAGATCTGGGCAGGTTATAGAGGTGGGCAGATGAGAATAGGATGGGTTTCAAT